AAAAAGGTAAAATGTTGATTGATGACAAACCTCATTCTGGAGATCCATCAACTTTCTGAATGGCTGAATATGGCAGACAGAGGACAGGTTTTGCTCACACAGCCATCTCAGTGCGCCAGTTTTTGGCAAAAAACAGTGTGCTTCTCTTGTCCCATGCACCTTACTCACCTGACTTGTCTGTGCAACTTCTTTTTGTTTCCATGAATAAAGAGGGACATGAAAGGACAGCAATTTGACAATGTAGAAGAAATGAAGGAAAAAAACGAGGAAGTGCTGTCAGCCATCTAAACAGATGAGTTTGAAAAAAATATTTTCAAGAATGGAATCACAGATTTGACAAATGTGTTAAGTGTAATGGAAAGTACTTTGAAGGTGATAAGGTAGTTTTGTTAAAAAAATGTAAATACATAGCTTTGAAAAATTTTTTGTGGTTTTTTTGTTGTTTTTTTTTAATATCCCCTCATATGAGGCCAGCATTACCCTGGTACCAAAATCAGGTCAAGATATCACAAGGAAAGAAAACTACAGACTATTGTACAATGTCCTTTGTGCAATAGATACAAAACCCCTCAATAAAATACTAGCAAATTAACCAAACAGCATATAAACAGCCTTATACACTATGACCAGGTGGTATTTATCTCAGGAATGCAAAAATGGTTCAATGTAGAGGGGTGGGAGGAATTAATATAATCCTCTACATTATTAAATTGCAGAACCAAACTTACTGCCATTGAGTCAGTGGAGACGCATAGCCACCCTATAGGACAGGGCAGAACTGCCCCTGTTAGTTTCTAAAACGCTGTTTACAGGAGAAGGCTCCTGTAAGAAGAAGGTTTCTCCTGCAGAATGGGTGGTGGTTTCAAACCTCTGGCCTTGGGGATCACAGCCCAACACTGTGATTCTGCCATCAGGGCTAAGACCCACATAATCGTCTTAATTGATGCAAAAACAGGATTTAACAGCAGGAACACTCAGAAAACTAGAACGAGGAGGGGAAATCCTCAACATGATCAAGGGTTCTGTGAAAAAGTCTACAGTGAACAGCAAATGAATGGGAAAGTCTGAAAGCGTCCCCCCTGGGATCTGAAACAAGGCAAGGATGCCCACTTGCACTACTGCTGTCCACAGTAAAAGAGAAATTCCAGCCACAGCACTCAGCCATGGTGAAAAAATAAATAATAAACATGCAACTCATTTGTTTGTTTATTTTATTTATTTATTTTTT